CTTATATAATAATATATATAACTAATGATGAGTACATTAGTCAAGATTCTCCATAGAAACAGAACCAATAGCATATATATGGTTCCAGGAAGGCACTGCCCAGTCTAAGGAGAAGCCCCACTAGTCTTCAGGAAATGAGGAACATGGTGCAATGTTCTCTGGTGTGTGACCAGACATTCTGATTTGTCATGGGAACCAGACATCTAGATTTACAGGTGAATTTCCAAAGTTTTAATTACTTACAAACTAATTCATAAAATCTTCTCAAGCACTGCGTGGGCCAATACTTCAGGGCAGACAAATATGCCTGCCGGCCAAATCCGTCGCAAAAGCAGCCAGATTGCCCCTTCGTATGTAAAATGGAGTTGTCTTTCTTAAAAAATTTATAATCCAGATACACTCTTGGGTACTACAATTCAAGGGAGAAACTGAAAGACCATGTCATGAGTAGAATTGTGCTTCCCAAAAATGATATGTTGAAGAGTTACCCTCCAGTATGTCAGAATGTGACCTTACTTGGAAATAAGATTGCCGTAGATGTCATTATTTAAGTTAAGATGAGTTCCTACTGGAGTCGGGTTAGGCCCCTAATTGAACAGGACTTGTGTCCTTATAAAACAAACAAACAAACGAACAAACACCACCTTGTGAAGAGATAAGGACAAAGAGAAGCCCGTGTGACAATGAAGGGGCAGAGCAGAGTGGTGCATCCGCAAGCCAAGAACGGCGAGGACTGCCAGCAAGCCACGAGAAGCTAGAGAGAGGCAAGGAGGGTGCTCCCTGCAGATGTCCTGGGGAGCACAGCCATGGAGACACCTTGATTTTGGACTTCTAGCCTTCAGAATACATCACAATAAATTTCTGTTGTTTTAAGCCACCCAGTTTTTAGTATTTTGTCAGGGCAGCCCTAGGAAACAAATGCACACCCCATGACAGATGAGAACATGTAACTTATTCATCCTCCACTGGAAACATAAACTTGGGAATTACCAGCATATAGAGATAATGGAGATATGAAGAGAAAGTTAACACATCTCAAAGGGAAAAGCAAAAAAGCTTCATGGAAGAGGTGGCATGCGGTAAGTGGTCTAAAGAGTGGAGAGGTGTGGGCAAAGATAAGGCAGGGTCCTGACAGCCTGCCTTGCGGGCTACTTAGGGGCTGGACTTGATGTCACTTTCACATCAAGGGGGCCTTGAAACATGGAATTTTGATAGGAAGAAAGAAGTGGGAAGAGAATCCCAGAATGGGGAAAAGCCATTGGCAAAAGTGCTAGGACTGCATTGGAGACAAGTTTAGGAACAGCCATTCCATTTGAATGAACTGTAGGAATGATGTTGAATTAAACCAGAGGCTGAGAGGTAAGCCTTTTAATTTCTGGTTCATTCATCATTTGTCCATTTTTTCATCAAGCATTATAATAAAATATTAATAATAATAAATGCTTACTGAGCTTTTATTATGTGCGCATATGAAAAGCCTACATTTAATCTTCACCCAACTACTTAAAGATAAGGAAACTAAGAGTCTGAGTGACTTGTCCCCAGCTCGCTCTGCTGACAGCACACAGCAGAGTCATCGCTGGAGCCCGGGCAGTGTGACTCCAGGGCCGTGGTCCTTTCCACTGCATTTAGTGCCTGACACTGTCAGGAGGACCCATCCAGCACCTGTGGCCCTGTCGCCTGGCAGCTGTCAGAAGGTGCAGATGACCAGGCTTCAGGCAAGGGGTTCTCCAGACCCTGCTCTTCAAGAAATGGGAGACCTGCCCCGCCAAGGGTCAGCTGAGGCACTGGCCCTGCAGCTCCAGGGGCGGAGGTGGGGCTGCCGACCCGGGCAGAGGTCACCAAGCTGCTGGCTCTGACCTCACCCGGAAGAGCCGACCGCTCTCTCCAAAATGTCAGTTTCCTGTTTCTTGCCTCCCACAGCAAACCCGGGGTCAAGAGAAGGCAAACGGAACCTCAGCCTGGAAGGTTAGCAGTAAAAGTGACCTTAAACAGCGACTCGTCCCCTCCTCTATGCACTGTTCTCCTCCCAATCCACTTTAAAGGTAAGGAAACCAAGGTTCATAAAGACAAAGTCGTTGGTTCAACACTTGTAGGCAATTCTGTGGCGAAGCCTGTGTTAGAACTCAAACCTCAGGACCTCAGTTCAGCGCGCTCCACAAAACATGCTAACAGGTTTGTGTTCTAAAATTCAGTTCCCTGGTGAGAGGCCGAGATGGGTGTGCATGTGCATGCGTGTGTGCACGCGCGCATGCACGGGTACACGTGTGCCGAATCATGAATACAAGCCCACG